AATAATAATAATAATAGTAATGAGAAAATATAAAAAATAATTATAAGGATAATACGAAAATTATTCATATAGTGTGTTTTATGCCCGTTTTATAATAGCCATAAGCGTAGTTGTAAGAATTGATCAATCATAGTCGAATATTCTCTTCCTATTCGACTTAAATGGTCGATTCTTACAACTACAACCATTTACAACTATGCTTACGACTATTATAGAACAGGCATCAGGCAAACTTGATAAAATCATGTTTGGAATATATAAAAAAATTGCTCATACATTATTATTATATATAATTTTATGTATGTATAATTATGTATGAGCAATTCTTTTACATTCATTCAAACTTAATTTTTTAAAAGAAACAATGCGAAAATTTTCCTTGTGATTATTTTTTGTTTTCTCATTATTATTATTATTGTTTTTATTATATTATATATAAACAGTAATTTTACCAAAGACAGAAGGATGTATGGATATTCAACATATAAATTTTTTTAATTTTCTCGACATCCATTTAATCAATTATTAGACAGTGAGTGATATATATATCAACATGAGTTTTATCCGGTTTTTATTTATTAAAGAAGATATATTATAGAAGTTTGTGTGAACAGTTGGATCTTATATATTATGAGTATAAGAGTAACAATTAAATTTATTTATTGGGAAATAGATAAATCTTGTTATAGATAGTAAAATAATTTATTTTCTTTTATTTGTTAAGTGACTACGCAATTTTAGTGAAAGTAAAGGTCAATATTTGACTCTATAAATTAAGTGGTTCTATATATTTTACGAATTCCATTGTTAAATTTTATCTATCGGACATGGATTATAGACAGTGGCTATTTTCTATATACTACTTATCTTGTACTTATTTTTCTCTACTGAAAATAACGGATTGGCGGCCCTAACGCAGTTTAAATAATTCAACTAGGTCATTAAACTTCAATCGTTTTTGATGCACACCTCTTTAAAACTCATGGATTCTCGATATGTCAATCATCTTCTGATTTATTCATCGTAGAAAGGTTAAAAAAGAAAGGCGTTTTATCGCCTGGAGTCAAAATGCCATGATGCAAGATCTGGAATTTATAAGAAGCCGAACTTCGAAGTCAATGTGCAGTCTTAAAAAAGAGAGATACGATTGAACGTCGTCTCTAGTATTAAATCGCACAATTTTATTCTATTTTAAAATTTCAAAAGTCTAACTTGTATAGAGCGAAGTATTAAAGGTTGCGAAACGCAACTTTCAGCCCGAGTGCCAAAAATAATCTAGGAAGTTTCGAATGAAAAAAAAAAAGAGAGCGGGAAGAATCCCTTAGTTGCTTTTGGTACATCTGATGCCGTTTTTGCGGAAACGAGATAGTAGCCGCAATCTTGCATTCGTTCGTTCGATCGATTACTGTTTTAATTATAGATTTGAAACGAGTGCACCAAAGATATACAGAACGCAGCTGTTTGTATGTACATACATACATTCAGTAACTCGACTAAGGATTCTTTTATCTCATTCATTTACGTTAAATATGCACATGTTTAGGTCAAGGCTAATATTGAATATGATAATCGATAGAAATTAAGATTCTGGCATGTCATCGATAGTCGATAGTTGCGCAAGTATAATATGTTTTACAGTATAATAAAATATAACATTTTTATCTGGGTAATTAAAATTTTGTTTTAAATTCTTATTAACAGTGAATTTTTACAATTTCTAGTTTGAAATTATAAAAATTTACACAATATATTATTAGCCACCAATATCTGCTTTAACCAAATATAATCCTCTTCATTCATTCATGTTGCGATTCACTTTTACTTAATAATAGTAATAAATAATATATAGTAAATTAAATAATAAAGTAAATTAAAGAAATTAATTTGAAAAATGAATAATTTGATTAAAACGATAGCTTTGCTAAAAATTCGAGAAAATTTAAGATTTAGAAAATAACTTAATAATGTTAAGTAACTTAATTGATTTAGAAAATAACTTCTTTTTTCAGAAAAACATACATATCTAAAAAATGTCATACAGACATAGACATTTTTTGGGACATCCATAAAAGATATCTAAAAGATATCATAAAGAAACCTAAAATCTAAAAAATATATGTTATCTGAGCTAATAGTTGTTGTTTATATATTTCTGTACATTATATCACAATCGTACAATGAATTTTAATTTTATGAGTTTGAATAAAGTACTAGTAACAAACACATCAAATACTATTTTTACGTTTACTATATTTTTTATTATTACAACTAAAGTATGACTAAGACTAAAGTAAGTTACAAAAGCTACAGAAACACATGAAGGGTGCGATCCACTTGGCGTTAAATACTTCGAAGCTTTTAATTGATCAATCGAAAGGAAAAATTTTATTAATTGACAAATAAAAAAATGTCGAAGTAGCATTTGTAGCATCAAGTGGACCATAACTAAAGTCTTTAAACGCTGTCGGTTGTCGGAGTTTCTCGTCAGCCGAATTTCTACCGGCATCGTTTCGTGAAGAAATTCGCCCCCGGCTGCTGTAAATGTAGTCCCCTCTACGTAATATGTGATTGCTTGTCAGGACGTTGACCAGTATTCGACTTTCTCGACACTGTAGTCGAAAAATGTAACGTGAACGAACTTTCGTGAGGCCCACATCGGAGGATCAGCTTCGCCCAATATCGGTGCCTACAAACAAATAATTGCTAGAGATAGGCTTTGAGTCAATCATAGTACACATAAATGTTACGTTATGTTTGCCGAACATTTTAATAACTGTAATCCATCGATCACGATTATGGACATTTCATGATAATCGCTTTCTTCATCCCCAGTATTTTCATCTATTGAATGAGATATTAAAAAGGCATATCAACTTTGATTAATGATAAGAAGATTGTATATCTGTCCGTCACCTTTACGCATTGTGACCAATTCAAGTACATTTCGCGATATTACTTTTTGTGAATTTTAAATCTTTTTGCGATAATAAAAGTAATAAAGGTTTTGTAAACAAGTTTAAGTTCATTTACCCTGAATGTGTGCTCGAGGAAAAGAAAGACTATTTTGCAGATAAGAATAAATAATGGTATTATGTAAATAATTTAAAATTATTAACATCAATTTATAATTCACTGATTCTAGATCACACATGTTCTATATTCACGCATTTTTAACGGTTAAAATAATTTTAATGATTAATAGATGGATAAAAAAATATCTATTAGTAATATAATTAGTTTTTAATTAATAAGTACTATAATTAGTTTTCTTTTAATAAAAAAAATAATCCTTTTGCATATCGTTTATTTAGCAAAAAATTCCCATATTTGTTAACAATTGTCATAAGTGAAAAATGTTGAAGTTGCATGCTATTTGTAGAGAGAGAGGAGAGAGAGAGAGAGAGAGAGAGAGAGAGAGAGAGAAAGAGAAATTTTGATAAAACAAAATAATAATGCTTTAAAAGCCTTGTAAAAATGGGCCGTTTTTTATTCTCTTCAAATAGTAAATAGGCGTATTTTCACTTCACGTATTTTTTACGACTATTTACTAATTGTCGAGGGGAGGAAGGAGGTAAGACAGCTCAATTTTACAAGAGTTTCAATCATTATTTTATCAAAATTTTTTTACAAATAACACGTAAAAAACTTCAACATATTATTTTTATTATTTCTTGCTTATGAAGTTAATTAAAAATATTTTTTAACACAGAATATTAATGCTGAAATCAGTAAAAATATTTGCTCCTGAAATATTACGATAGCATTATATTAATTATTTGAGTATTAACTTGAAAGGAAAATAGCAAGGTGTGGGACTTAGAAATAAAAAATACCTTGACATATTAATTTTATGAATATATTTGTTACATACTTATGTATAAATTAAAAAACGCACGATATAATTTTCTCTTTTATCATTTCACGTATTAATATGCGATTTTTTCTAACGATTATTAAATTTTCAATTGATACAATAATAACATACTGCTTAAATATTTATTTATAAATATATAAGCTATGTATTTTAATAAAGCGTATGCTATATATATATATATATAAGATTGTATCAAAAAATTTTTACTGTCGATCGCTATTAACAATTCTGGCAGAATATTTACAGATTCCGAATTCCAATTGTTGACATCATTATCCATTCGCATTGCATTATTGTACATTTGTGAAGGAATGTTTTTAGCAGTATATAAGCTGCAACGTATTACACAAATTGAGATAAAATACTGACACCAGTGATAAAGTTAGGTAATAAATCTGTACTGTTCCATAAAATAAAGAAAAACTATAAAATATAAGTGTTATCCCATATAAAAATGTCTATCCTATAAAATAAAAATAAAAATAAAATTATTGCGCCAACAATATTTGACTTGTTAAAAAGAAATTGTCATAATCATTATTATTACCATCCTATCTTAGGAAAGAATTCTGCAACGTCCTGAAAAACCTCTTTCGGTGTTTTCATAGAATTAACTTTATAAACTAAACCTTGCTGCTCATACATTTCTATGATCGGTAAAGTATTTTTTAGGTAAGTTTGATGACGCAGGACCAAAGACTGCTCATTGTCATCGCTGCGCCCGCTTCCACTGGCACCGCGTTTCAGGCAACGCTGAGTACAAACTTCTTGACTGCACTCGCAGAATATTACGCCCTTGAGGATAACTTTGTCAGCCATCATCTGTTATCAACATATGCCATACATGAAATAACTATAATATGCAAAGTCCAGTGTCTAGAATCGATTAATTATCAGAGAAGCATGTAGGTACAATCTTAAAGTAAATGATAATGGTAATACAACTGCATATGCGTACACATACATATGTGTGTAATATACATATATATATATTTTTTAAATTTAACTCAATCAAATAAAAAAGGATCATATAATATGGTTGAGCTTTGGTATTGGATAATATTTATATTTAAATTTTAAATATATTTTTCAATTATTTAACTGTGTGTTTAAATTATTACAAAATTATTAGACTTAACAAGCAAACATAAACTAAAGCTGAAATAATTTCACAATTAAATTGATTGTCAATTTAATAATATCCAATAATAAGCATCTTAGAACACTCCGAAGAACTTATTATGAAAAATATTAATTATATTAATTATCAACTCTATCTCAATATGATTATTAAAGGTTTTAAATGATAAAGCTACTAAATTAAAATGACATAAAGAAATAATTTAATGAAGAATTAAACTATTCTAAACACATAGAATCAAATCAGAATCAAATATTTATTTATACATTTTTTTATGAAAATAAAATATTGTTCTATATATCACTTTTTCAATAATATGAAAAGCACAATGTACATTCTACTACTGTAGGAGACAAATCCCGATAATAATAATTGATTGGCAATCGTAAATTTAACAGATATAATTTAACAGATAGATATTCAAGATGCATGTCCAAGACTGTGTTCCATTTCGTGTATGACACGTATAACGTAACACTTTATCCTTCTTCAATATTCGTAACAACAAGGATAAAATAATTATGCGCATTATGCGTGAAATAAGACAATACCTTATTCCAACCGTCAAGATTATCCTGATTCCTGGGAAAGCCGTCGATGAGAAACCGGTGATGCGGATTCTCGGATGTCTGCATGGCGCGATCGATGAGGCTACAGGTGATCTCCACCGGGACGATCGTACCATTTCTGATATGTGTTTCGATGAGCTCGCCATACTCCGAGCAGGGTTTAGCACGTTCCTCGCGCAGCAGATCACCAGCCGATAGATGAACATAACCGTAATGCTCAACAATGTAGCGGCAGAGCGTGCCCTTGCCGGCACCCGGGCCACCTAGGATGAACACCACCTCCGGCTTTTGCATCGTGACAGCGGACATCGTGCGGATACAACGTCGCGCACCGGCCACGAGAGTCCGTAACATGTACAGAAAATCGTTATACATGTATATATACCAACGCACACACTAATCAATTCATTACTAGTTTCATACACTCCACGTAATACACGCGGCGGTTATACTGGCGCCATTTTTAAAAGACGCTAAGAACAGGTGCATCCAGAACAATCTAGAAGCATAACCGCTCAGTGAGCTCTTGTACTATCTGTTTGGTCCTTATATTTTTAGCTCTAATGGAATGTGCCAATTAAATGCAAGAGCTGACTAAGCGTTCAGTGAACGATCGTGTTTCTGAATACGCCTAATGTCAGAAATCGGATACATCGGAATACACGGTTTCTGATAGGTTGAAAACCTATTTATTCTTTAGTCCGGATCTAGATGTTTTAAGCCTCAAGCCGTAAGAAATTGACCAATTATAGTCGAATGCGAGGAAAATAATTGATTGTGATTCGTCCATTCCTTATGGCTTAAGGATAAAAAATCTATTATTGATCCGGACTTATTCTTTCTATTGTGCGTAGGACCTAACACGATGACTAGGAAATGGCGAACCAATCAAAAGTGGCATCCTGATGGCCAGTCTTTCTTCAATCATTTTCAACATCACAGACTTCTCTGAGTTTGACATACATACTCTATGATTATACTGTGACGAAGAGAAGATAAGAGATATATTTTTGTTAACCTCGTATAAATATTTTATTATTGTGAAAAGAAAAATAATGCAAACATGTCTATGGTATTTATAATTTGATGTTGCATAATTGTAAATGTTATATTTCAATTATATAATACTAAATCTACATCTTAATTCTTAACATCCATATTTTATTTTAAGCTGCACAGTTTGTGGATATTTAATACAATTTTATGTTTTTACAATTTTATTTAGTTAATCAAATCATAAATTTGGTAGAAATAAGAACTTATTAAGGAAATGTACGAAACACCATATGATTACGATGTCACTGGTGTTAATGTATATTAATTTTATTTTCTTAATATATAACTTATTTTATAGCGACCTGATGATCACCGAAGGAAATGGAATCGAGAAGAATATGAAAGGATTGCACTTCAAAGACTTCAAGATGAGATTGCAGAGGAAGAATTAGGAATTCCCAAGCAGCCAGCAGTTAAAAGAGAATTGCTGAAGCAAAGAGATTACAAGGTTGATCTCGAATCTAAACTAGGAAAAAGTGTTGTTATCAATAAAAATACACCATCATCACAAACTGGAGGGTAAACGTCAACTCCTAACTATGTTTTAAAAAGTATTAATTATACAATAATGGTTTTATTACATACACTGCAGCTCTCATTAATTTCAATATACTTCTAGATTCGTTAATTTCTTTATAAAGAATGAATGTGATGTTTTGTATAGAAATGATCCATCCATTATAAGTGCTTTTATCACTTGCATGCATCGTATTTAGACATTATTTATTTAAAAACTGTAGTTTCTTTTTCGAAAAAAAAATCTAACAATCAAA